AATACATTATTTCAAATATATAATAAACGTATCGGAAAAATTATACTTATCGCGAAATTATCCCATTTTCATCAATCGTTGGCAAAAAGCGATATCGCTGATTTTCGACCGTTGTATCTCGGACCATTGAAAAAGCGGGGCGTCCTACATCGGAGATCGGCACGCTGGATTTATTACGTTTCCAACTTTAACAGGAAACTTATCTATTGGCAGCACGACTTTAACCGAGTTCGAGACGAGTTCGAGAGTCACAGTGCGACAGATATACCTGAGAACTCAATCCATGCCACGCGTGATTCAACTCGCCTGGACGGAACTTCGCCAATTTATTGACCAAGAATTCCATGAAAGATAAAATAAGTGTACCGGGAATGGATCGTTGCGAAGTAATAAGTCACACCATCAGATATACGAACTTTCGACGAGAGGCTACCGTATATTCGACTAGAAATCAATTCTTTCTAAGTAGCTCTCACATCGTGATATCAGTATATTATATGTACAGCACTTGAAAATGATAAAATACATCGTATATTATGTAATATTACACTGAGGAAAAAATTATCTTGAAATAAAAAAATTTTAGTTAACTCAAGAAAGCTATTTATTCGGTGGGTACTAATCACGTATTTACTTGTATTCAAAATGTCTGTTTGCTTAAGTTAAGTATTTATTTACATATGTTTAAAAAATATATATGCTTAAAAAAATATAATTTTTAATTAAATATTTTTATATTTTAATTTTACAAAATATTTATTTATTCTCAAAAATTTTAAATTTTTTAATTTAAAAAAATAATATATTTAATTTAATAAATTATAGTATATATTTTACGAAAATAGTATTTAAATAGTATTTAAATAGTATTTAAAAAATATATAAATGAAAATAATTTACTTAATATAACATGCATATTTAATTAAAATTAAATGCTTTTGCTTAAATGAAATAAACAATTCCTTCCATTTAAAGCAAAAGTTTCAAGAAAACAAATTTATTTGATTTAAAAAAATTTTCCCTCAGTGTATTGTTTTTAAAATTTGGCGTGTCAATTTTTTTACCAATATTTTATAAGAAATTTCTCAAATTTAATATAAATTTCATGATAATTTCCTTGTGTGTCGCAAACTTTAAACAATATTTTGACAAACTAAAAAACTATTGTTACGATATAATATTTATATTGTAACAAATTTATATTCATGTGTCGATATTTTTGTTTCGTCGTCAAACCTGTAAGTATTCAACGTATTATTTGCAGCCTAGATAACACGTGTTATGCGATAAAACAAGTTACACATACTTGAAGCTACTTGGAGGCATCTCGAGTCACTTTGACGTTAAGCAGCTTAAACGGCTGATACATCCGTGTTCTCCGTTCCGTACATCGGATTAGCTGCACCAAGGGCTCCTTGTTCCTACGCGCTGTAAATTGGAATCTGTTCTCTATTACTGTACCGACACTCAGTACCCGACACGATTTCTCCTTAGCTGGAGTGAGCGGCAAACACGAGTGTGAGCAGTTCAGAGACAAAGCTATATACGACCAAGATCGTGAAATGCATAATCTTAAAGAGAGGTATTGTACCTCCATTTAGAGAGGAGAAGCATTAATGTGTTTGAACTAATATTTTTACCAGGAATACGAATATTTGTGAAATATAATCAATTAAAATTAATTTCTTATTATTTTATAAGTTTGAGCATGTATTTTATGTTGTTGGATGTTTAAAAAATTACTTGAATAACATTTTAAAAATTTATTTTATGCTGTATTTTGTAAACAAAAACTTTTGAACAATTTTAAATTAATGAATAAAATAGATCCTCAATTAATCTAATTGAATTCGATTCAATTCGAAAAGATTCTAATCGAATATTAGTAATATTCAAACATATTGAAAATATATATGATTTTAATTTTTAGATATAAATTTGAATATTATTTCTTCTTTAAAATAATATACATTGAAATTACATACATATACACACATATACTTTATTTATATATGATTAAATTTGCATAATAATGATATTAAATTAACTTTAACTTAGTTTTATTATATGTATATGTAACTTAACAAGTGTGTTAATTCAATATCGTTACTATTCCGAACGTAAACGCAAGTTGAGCGAAGTAATTATCCTGGCAAGTACGCTGCCCGACGTTGATACGCAACTGAACTGAGAATTATTCGTGTAATCTACATCATCGTAATATTCCGCAAACTGGAATCGATTATTTGCCACGTTGAACTTCCATTAACTCCAGCCGACTGTGTTTATGTATCTGACAGTTGTAACGCGAGTGCAATTAGATGCACATTGAAGCAGTCGTAATTTTCTGAGTTTCTCCGTTTCGCTAAAATTATCTTACTTTGCGAGATGGAAAGTGAATCGAAAACTAAAATAAAACATACAATGTTTTACAGATATTGTATCTACTCTCTTGTCTTAAATCGATGTGAGTAAAAATAATTTTAAATTTTGTTGAAATTTTCGTTTGTGAACAATTATCTTTTCTCAAGACAGATGTCAATTTATTCAATTATTCCAAAGCAATGACGAATTAATATTAAATTTAAGTGTTTGCATGTTATAAGCTTTTAAGAGACGGAAAATCGTTTCTTACTCCCTACAAAACACTTTCGTACACTATTGATCTAGAACAGCGTAAACATTATGTAGAATACAGTAGAAAACGAGAGATAGATACGCCGTCAGGTTACAAAGAAATTAATCTCCAATACAGCGTAATGTAAAACTGATGGCCTCCTTTCGAAGTGAAAGAAAAAACGACCTGTCGGAATACGGTCAGCGCATCTTTTGCATCACAAACGGAGATCTCTCAATGAACTTTGACTGAACCTCATCTAAATCTCGTAAAAGATTTTCAGTAAGACAAAAGGGCTTCAAATATGACTTGCACAATTTTAAGATAAAATTTAAAACTTCGTTAAGAAACTCTTCAAGTTCTCATGTGAAAAATCTTTCCAACATTTTTTAATGTATCTGTAACTGTCACTTTTTGCTTTTTCAAGAAATATTTTTTAATTTTAAATTTTATTTTTTAATTTTTTATTTTTATATATGAAATAAATTTTAGATACGTCAGATTTTAGATAGATACAAAAAATAAGATGTATTTTATATTTAGTTTTATATTTTTAGAAAGACGAAATTACTTTATGATTAAAAATAGGAAGCAGGAGGATAGTGAAACGCAATTCTTTTTTTTTTATTATATCGTTATCAAAAAGACGCCGTGAAAATTTCTTAACCTTCCCTCGTCTCGACATCATATTCGAAACGTCAACGACATCCGCGTGGTATGGCACCGATAATACTCTAGCAACACGAATGGGGCTGCGAAAACTTTCTCGAAGCTGAACACGCTCTGGGTTATTTATATAGCTGAGAAATTTTTCATATTCGTGTCACAAATCACCCAATTAATAATATTTTTTAATATCAATTAATATAATATTATTTATCTTTTGATATCTCTTGATAATATATTTGACAATATTTAATGAAATAGATACAATTCTCTATTTTCGTATTAAAACTGAATATAAATGATTTTAATGAATATCAAGTCAAAAGTTGTTAAATTAAGAAAATTAATTAAATTTTAGAATCAATATAATCCTAAAATGCTGCAAATGCGACAACCATTTCCTCATGCATCTGAATTTGCAATTATTATAAATAAACTCGTCGTCAATCATTAATATTACGCTTTAATTAATTGCACCATAACGTTGGCTGTACGTATAAATTATCGGTATTATAATATTATTCATGTCGAGCTTTGTACAATCCGATGTAATCCGATGGCGCGCGTTTCACAGAGTTAGTAACATGTCGATGCGAAAGTTGGTCGTTTCCTGTGGAACCGACGTTTTACCTTGAATGTCCTTTTTATCGCTCCGCAAAGCCGAGCTACGCGTCTTCTTCAAATTCGACACATTCATTTTGCCGCACGTGTGATAAAATCGAGACGCGCTTCTATGACTCGGGATGACAGCTCGGCAAGAATGCGCCCGGTCATCGTGATGTGATATAAAATTCGGGCCGGCAACCATGACGGGGAAAATCCACCAGGTTGAAAAGTGGACAGTCGTGGTATGTGACTTATCGATCGAATATCGCCGAGGTGCAGCTTCGTCGTTTTTCACGGTGCTCCTTTATGCAGATGATGCATCGATGCGTCTTGCAAATTGCGAAGGGATGCTCGCCGTTAAAAACTACTATTTATCAAAAAAAAAACATAAAAAGAATGGTGATTGAATGCTGCGAATTTAAAATATGAGAATGTTTTATACAGAAGATGTGAACTGTGAACGCTGTAAAATATTGCACAAAGCCTGGTCTTTGAAATGGGTAAATATTGAATTTATCCTGCAATTATAAATTTATGAAATAAACCATATTTTCGTATGAATATCCACAAATGAATACGAACGTTTTCTCGTCAGGCGTGACTATTATAAAATCGCTCGTAAGTAATCGGTCGTATTTTATCAATTATCGATGCTTTTAATCGAACGCCGCTGCAACAGCAATAACGCCGTTATCGGTGGCTCACCATCAATTTTTTTCAACTTAATCACGCACCTTTTATTACATCGCGATATAGCTTTATCGAGCAGTTCGACGCAACACGTGTAAACTCGTGTAAACGAGCGCCCGACGATTAAAACTGTCTCTCACCGATTTATTTCTCCCTCACGCTGCCGTTTTATGTTTGTGTTTCGCCGCGTTTCTGTAAAATTCCCGCTCGCTCTTCGTGGCACAAAATCTCCGGTGCATCGCGATGAATTTATACAAGCGCGAGAGCGCGATCACCCTACTGTATTCAATTATTCTTGTTTCGAAACCTTCAAATTCCCTGGAGCGTTTCTATTTTTAATGTTTGCATTTTTTATTGATATTTTCAAGGTTCCTCTCCGCGTCACACATTACATTTATCGCAAAATCGCTTTCTGTTACAGAAGCGCGAGCCAGAATAATCGGTCCGCCAGATATCTACGTGAAGAGCGGAAGTCTTTTGACGTTGACATGTTTAATGTCGCAAGGTCCTCACGATCTGGGGACGGTGGCCTGGTTTCGGGGCAGTCAAGCGGTAGTGACGTCACCGCGATCAGAAAATGACATCGAGGCGGAACCACGCATAACCGTCGAGACGGAATGGAGCGATGCCCTCACATCGAGGTATGAATGAATAAATAAATCGCTTATTTACTCTTTAAAAGTGAATCAGCGAAAATATCACTAATTTAAACAGTAGAATAAGATTTCACTGAGAATCAGTGAGTATTTTACTGATTTTCTGTAGAAACGCTTATTTTTTGTTATTTTATCTTATATCTCACTGATTATGGTCAGTTAAAGTAAAATTCACTGTAAAACCAGTAAATTTCACTGTAAAATCAGTAATTGCTAGCTTGTTCATATATCACTATGATCTCTCTCGTATTTAAGTTTTAGTCATAAGAATTATATAAAGTTTGCAAAGAACGATAGATAAAATTAAAAATGTTACTTCGATTTAATTTCTGATACAATCTCAATAGAGAGATTTCAGACGTTAAATCGATTTTATAAATCGGGCAAGTAAATGTCTGGTGACCTAATCGAAAATTATTCATTCGTTATCTATTTAAAGTAACAAGTTCAATATGCATGCAATATAAATAAAATAAAATGTTTAATATGATAAATAGAAATAGAAATAAATATATAAATAAATATATAATAAAAATTATATATATATATATATATATATATAATTTTTATTATATATTTATTTATATATTTATTTCATATAAAATTAAAAATTTTATTTATATATTTATTAATATATATATATATATATATATATATATATATATTAATAAATATATAAATAAAATTTTTAATTTTATATGAAATAGAGAGATGAATTGTAGTTTAATATTACTGATTGAAACAGTCAACTCAATTCTTTCAATAAAATATCATTAATTTATAGTGCTGTACTTATAACTGCTGTAATCAGACTATTTACTGTTTTTCAGTGATACACTGATTCACTTTTAAAGAGTATATCTAAATCATTCTTTACTTAATAACTTATTCATTGCCAGCTTTAATGCGAGATATAATTTGTCAATATAACGAGATAATCGATTCTTTCCATAATATGTAATAATATGTCAAACAAGTGTTCATGTGTACGATAGTCTCTCTCGCGAGATATAAAGAGAGAAAAGAGTGTATATTTTGTAAATAATTTATTTTTTTAAATATCAGAAACTCAGTTTACGCAAAATTTGTTTGCGCGCCATGAACGAAGTGGACAAAAAAGCTCGTCACGCTTGTCGCACATCCAGAGTCATCATTTCCGCACGGGGCAAACTCTCATAAACGTGCACGCTCGCGTGTGATATTGTTATACGAAGTGCTATTTAATTTTTTACACCGGCTCCAGTCGGGCGCAAGTGTACGTCGACTAAATAAAAAATGAAAATTTGCGCGCGCGCGCCATATATTTGCGGCGCTTACATTTTAACGCAGTTTAAATATTTCAATTTTTGTCGCAACATTCCCGCAGCGCATTTTAAAAACCGGTTCCTATGTACAATGCGACTGAGTGCGTGTCATCCTAAACGACATGCACACTGCAGTTTTGTAAAATTGTTCGTTCGAGGACTTGGTGTGCTAACAAGTTTATATGCGACAGTGAAATAAATTCGAATAATTAAAGAACGTCACATAAAGTATTAAAGGGTGTTAATCCCATTCGGTTACTTTTTTCCTTTTCTGCGATCTGATTACAAATATTGGGAAACTTTTTAGTCCTATTCTTCGGTTTTTCGTTCAAGAATGCCTTCTCTCACCTTCTGCTCCCCAAAGGTTCCGTCGTTGAATCGTCCATCGCGTGTACAATATTTCATCGCACACGGTGTACCGTATCTTTTTCGAGCCGCCGCCAGCGAAATAAATAAATGGCCCTCCGCTTATCCCCTCTCGCATCCAGAGGAAATAATGAGAAATAATGGCGCTGGGTGGCTGTCCTGCCGGTCCTACACGTCGTCCTGGCTCTTTGAAAAACTGATCCTATGTTCAAATTAATTTATTTCGCGATACCCGTGGCTCTAGGGGACCGCCTTAAAAATGCACAATATGCACGCGTGTTCAGGTAACAGCAGTGACAAAATATTTATTCCGCTATTATTAACGCTCAAAAATGTAAAAATGATCATTTATTTTCGACATCTAGATACGGATATTGCTATCTTAAATTTACTTAAACGTATAAATACATTTTTTTATGTAATTTCAAGATATTAAATATGAGTATCATCCATTATATGAGATAACAGATGTGTACTAGAGGAAATATAATATTTAGAAAAAAATTGCAATATAATCTCCAAATGTGACTCTTCAAAAATATTTTCAAAAATATACAAAATTATGAATCAATAATTAAAGATACTCTCTAAAAGTGAATCAGTGTATTTTCACTGAAAAACAGTAAATAGTCACCGATATTTACCGATATTACAGCAGTTATAAATGCAGCACTGTAAATCAATAATAATATTTTATTGAAAGAATTTGTTAATAATTTTGACTGCTTCAATCAGTTCAATGTTAAACTACAATTTATCTCTCTATCTATTTCATATAAAATTAAAAATTTTATTTATATATTTATTAAATATTTTATTTATATTTATTATATTAAAAATTTTATTTTATTTATATTATTATATATATTGTTATTATTTAATTTTATTTTATTTATATTACATGCATATTGAACTTGTTATTTTAAACAGAAACGGACGAATAATTTTCATTAAATCGTCAGACATTTATTTGTCCGAGTTATAAAATCGATTTAATATCTAAAGTCTCTCTATTGAGAGTGTATCAGAAATTAAATCAAAGTAATATTTCTAATTTTATTTGTCGTGCTTTGCAAACTTTATATAATTCTTAAGATTAAAAAACTTAAATACGAGAGAGTGATCATAGATAAATGAACGAACAATTACTGATTTTACAATTAATGAAATTTACTGGTTTTACAGTGAATTTTACTTTAACTGACCATAATCAGTGAGATATAAGATAAAATAACAAAAGATAAGCGTTACCACTGAAGATCAGTAAAATACTCACTGATTCTCCGTGAAATCTTATTTTATTATTTAAATTAGCGATATTTTCACTGATTCACTTTTAGAGAGTAGATATAAATATTCAAAATCGCTGATACACTTATTTATTTGCCTCATCTTTATTTGAAAAAAAAAAGTTATTATTTTAGTGGGGAGGAATCAGACGAATCTCAAGGGCCAGGACGTCGTGGCGTCGCGCGCGTATGATGTCTGATTATTCTAATTGTTCGGGGCAACGTCGAGACAAACAGGGCCCTTTGTCACGTGGCCCGCGCACCGTGAAGACGCGTCGGACATGCCCCGCATTTCGGAGCTGACTGTTTAGCCGGGCCGCTTATACGTGTCGGGCCAAATATTGCACCGTCGCCGCCGTTGTGTCTGTCGCGCGTCCGTTTTTGGACGTGATTGACGATTGTCACGACGACGCCCGCGTTATACATCGCGCCGACAAATTTACGAGGACGCGGCCCAAGAAGCGAATTAATTGCCGCGCAGCTGCCTGGCCTGCGACTTCCGTCGCGCGCACGTCCGCTCTCAGTAAATCTGACAGAACTGTCTGAAAGTAACGCGGTTACAGTCGAAATATTCCCATGGAGATGTCACATGGTCGTCAGTAAATTTTCATGCGACCATGTATTCATTCACAATAGGCGTATAATCAGTATCGAAACGGCCGAGAAAATCTTTCTCTTCAACGATCTCTAATTTATTAAAACAAACGTAGAATATTAACGAAAAATACATATATTTTTTATTTAAAATTAACACATTTGTTTAAAACTATCATCATCATTTTTAAATTATATTTAAAAAATATTATATAAGAATTATTGAAAAAAATCGATTATACATTCTAATTATGTGCGTTCCAATCTAAACATTATCTCAAAAACGTTTTTGTAATTATTGGAGTTAATTTCTTTTTTATGTAAATTAAAAAAAAACTCAACAGTTCTAGAAGAATAAAATTTCTACATTATAATTCAAATTTTTCCTCCAACAGTAACACGAAAAATTTATCTAAGCATTATATTATCTGCACACTGAGGGAAAAATTTGTTTAAATCAAATAAATTTGTTTTCTTGAAACTTTTGCTTTAAATGGAAGGAATTGTTTATTTTATTTAAGCAAAAGCATTTAATTTTAATTAAATATGTTAAATTAAGTACGTTATTTTCATTTATATATTTTTTATATTTAAATACTATTTTCGTAAAATATATGCTACAATTTATTAAATTAAATATATTATTTTTTTATTATTTAAAAAATTTAAAATTTTTGAGAATAAAAAATGCATTTCAATTAAAATATAAAAATATTAATTAAAAATTATATTTTTTTAAGCATATATATATATTTTTAAATATATGTAAATAAATACTTAACTTAAGCAAACAGACGTTTTGAATACAAGTAAATACGTGATTAGTACCCATCGAATAAATAGCTTTCTTGAGTGAACTAAAATTTTTTTTATTTCAAGATAATTTCTTCCTCAGTGCAGTAATATTGCCATTCATGTATATTTTAGGATCTAAACATAATACATTATTTTCATTTATAAAAAGATGGAGATATTCAAATTTCGCGTTAAACGTGAGAGTTAATCTACGAGGTCGATTTTCACGTCTGAGAGTTCGGCGCGCATAAATCGCCCGAGCTTTCGATAATGCGCAACCGGATATCGTTTTATTCCATCACATCGAGATTACCTTCCCTTCCGCCCTTAGACCAAGGTGGTGTGTTCGTTGTCGAGAAGCTTAGTCTCCAACGTCGCTATATATTTTCATTATCCCGGGACTCCATCGGGTCTGCCGTTGCTATAACCGTCGCGCCGGCATCGCAATAATTATTTCGCGAAACATTTGGTTCACGCGAATGCGGTAACCGCATATGCGGGACAACGTTACGTAACCTTAAGCGGCCATTATTGGTCCCACGAGTGCGATGCATTACGACGTTACACGACGAAGCTAACTACTGAAATACGGCAAGTAAATGAGTAATCGATAATCTATTGGGAGCAGCGCAACTTCTTCGCGTGACGTTATGTATCGTGTAATGGATGCTCCTATTGTGCGTCCACTAATCTATATACAAGTCCGGCAAAAAACCATGTATCTATCTATCTTAGCGCTTCTTATCTGGAAACAATATTACAATTACAGGCGAGCAAACATTGAAGATATAGTAATGAAAATAATTACCGTAACGCGGGAAACGTAGATATTATCTCGTAATCGATAAACCGGTGGAGATTAATTAAAAACTTTTTATGAAAAACTTTTATCTTTCTCTCTTTTTCTTCAGGAAAAGATGCTGAGAAAGACGCGTTAAAGTAAATTTTTGCTACATTTCTTTCGTACTAATGTTTGGATTGAAAGTTTGGCAAAGACTAACTATTGAATTCAAAACCTGATGTGAAAATGTTAGGGAACTTTCGAATAGCTTTTTTATTTGTTTAACAGTATCGCGGAAAAATCCGCTCTTGATGCGAATCATTCAGAACGTGTTCAAACTACTTTTGCACAGCTAGCTTCCCGTGAAATTGACCAATCGCCGATTAACTTTTACGCAATCAACTTTATCTCCCGCGGTTTATTAATGTGTTTTCACGTCGAATAGGGAATTTTTTCCCTATGTGTATCACGTTTGAAACCAATTTAACGCCCATATTTGAAGACTTGTGCTTTTACCGTACCTGCAAAAAGTTTCGGATACGCGATATATCCCGAGAATTCGAGCCCATGTTCCGATTTCTATACCTATCAGTCCGATCAAATCGATTTACTGCAGTTCATAACGGTAACGAGTGTCGAGCAAATAGAATGGAAAACCAACAGGAAAAAAGAAACACTCCATTCCCTGTTCCTCGATTATTACAGCCGAATGAGTTGGTTGAAGTTTGGTTGGTCGCTCAGATGTAAACTTAGAGCGAGAAAAAGAGCTACTATTATTATCATGTTATATTTGTGAAAGCTCATGAGATTTGGACATTTATGATAAGGAAGCAAATAGATGTAACGATAAAATTAAAAATCTTTATCTCTCTCTCTTTTCATTTTACTATAATCATCAAATAAATAAAAAAACTAGATATACTTCAATACAATTTTATAACAATATTGTTTGTCAAAATAAATATATTTATTAATAAAAGTTGCTGGCAATCAAAAGTCTTATATATTTTTTTGAATGAATATCTTTATATGTATCATTTAGTTTAAGTCAATGTCCTTTACAATTTTATTTTTGGAATAGGCGAATAATTTCTGTATGTATTTTATATTATTGCACATCTTGTGTATCATTCATGTATGATCGCCAATTATAGTAGAAATACCTTCAAATCGTATTAGGAATTGCGTAATTGCATGTTGCGCAATTTGCATTTCACGGATATCTTCGACAAAAGTATGCACGATGCATTACGCAGAAAACAGGACGGGTAATTGGATCGCTGCCGTTAGTAACGTCGTTGGATAATTATCACTGAAATAACGATACTTTATTGTTAGTTGCATCATTAGTTATTTTATATGATCCTGTACTTTATACTGTTCTGACGAAACTATATCCCATTAACGTGTACGGCATGAGAACGATTTTGCGAGACGCATATACGCGATAACGATCTCGTTGTAAATTATGAGTGCCTTTGAAAATTCCACAGAAGTATGAAATTTTTTTCATGATATATGCTAATTACAAAATAAAAAAGTGTAATAATTTAGAGCGTCATATATAAAAGTTTTTCTGGTCGTCTGCATTCAATTCTGTGGATAGATATATTTTATCGAACTCGTACATTGAGATATTCATGTTCGCGTTAATTTTATTTATCATGCTTCACATTTATTACTTATTAGAAATTATATTTTTATATTTTTATAAATCTTCACAGGAGAAATATATTTTTTTCTATAACTTATGCGAAAGGAAGGAGAAAACTTTTATAAAGCGAACTTCAAAGGGTTACTTTCATATTTGGCATCTTTAATGATCGAGTAGTAATTTTCTGTATATTTGTCTTCTTGATATAAATTAATATTTTTTTTAATTTATTTAATTTTAAATCACATTTTTTAAATTAAGTTCATTTGCAATATGTAAATAAACTGTTCAATATAAAAATCATTTTTCGCTAGACACACTAAAAAATATACAAGATTAATTTACAACATGTATGAAAATGAAAGAGAAAGAAAGAGAGATATATATCATAAAATACAAACAATTATTCTTTAAATATTTTTTCTTTGAAAACAATATTTGTATTTAATGTAATCGAAATAGCGCGATTTTTATTTTAATCCGGAAAATTTCCAATCTTGCAATATATTTATATCGCATTTACCATAATCAACTTAAATTAACACACCTTATAATTGCAAAAATCTGGTATGTACAATGCAATTTACATGTATGACGTACACAATTTAACGATAAATTATTACCTTTTGTGTGCGGCAGATTGAGGATCACGTATTTGAAACCCGGTGACTCCGGAAACTACAGTTGCGTTCCTACCGTGGCGGAGAGAGCAAGTGTCAACGTGCACGTGATCAATGGTAAGTCCGTCAGAAATGCCATAACTGATTCACGCGACAAGATAATCCCTATACATACGTCGATCATTTATTCCGGGGAGATTGCTACAATATATACCTGGTCTTTATTTATCACGGTGCATTAACCCTTTCACGCATGGAATATCTCTTTGCTGACGATTTAATCTTCTCGCACGCGTGCTCGCAGGAAATTAAAATTAAAGCGATATTCCTGTCCGGAAAATTCAAAGTAAATTTTAATTCACGATCGCTGTTATTCGTATAATGTCACCATTTATCAATTTGGCTCAATAATAAATTGGTTCAATAATAAATCTTTATTTCATAGATTCGAAAATAAGTTATATTTTGTTTCCTTTTTTTATACTACTTTATTTTCTCTTTTCGTATTAAAGTTCTTTTCGTATCAAATTAATAGAAATTACGAAAGAAAGTAAGGAAAATTAATTAAAATAAAATTTATAAGATATTTGATAAGAATTTTTATAAGATATTTATATTATATAACAATATAACGTAAGTCTTATGTAATTTTATCATATATTTATGAATTTATTAGCCGTGAATACGTGCAATTATATTGCAAAAAAAGCGAAGATTTTATTTCGTTCTGGAAAAGCAGATTTAAACATTTATAGACAATGCGTGAATCACGAGGCACATTGTCGGCTTTATTGTCTGGCATGTTTTTCGCTAGAGCTGGTGTGCTTTTCGCTAGAGTTTCTCTGCTTTACTGATCGTCTGATAACGTATAGAAATAGTTCGATATCGCCAACGGCGCCACGTTTTCTGCCCGGATCTACGAAAAAGCGTAATATCCAGTGGGAAAAAGATTCGCAAGATGAAAGGTAGAACGTGCAGGCCGCTTGAAAGACGCAGAGTATACTCTGGTGACCCCGTAAGTGATCGAACTCGAATTACAGTCGACCACAAGAAAAGTCTAACCGCGTATTCTTGGTTTTCATTTAATTCCAATGGCCAGGAAAATAACAATTAATCATAGTTACCAATAGCATGATATTTGATCTTATTGTTTTTTAATAACTTTGAATTTTTTTCAATTTAATTCAATTTAGACGCACTTACGTAAAGATTTATATAAATTTTTACGTAACATTAAATTTATAATCAAATAAATATTGCATTTTTTTGTTATATTTATAATGCTATCATATAGTCTTGCCTATATTAATATAATTTTAAATTCATTTTCCTAGAATTAATTTTTGCCGAATATATCAGATAATTAAATATTATTGAAAAGGATTTTTGAAAAATTATCACTCATGTGTTTCAGGAGTTTTCAAATCGATGTACAGCTTATTAATAAAAAAAATGAACAACAGATTGTGATAAAGTAGGCCCTAGTAATTTATAGGGAGCTGGGCGGATATCAATTCTATTCTTGATGTGCCACTTTACCGCCGACCATTATCTTTCTTTTGTTATATCGGCTTTAGCGAAACATAATTCAATTCTGCCCCGAGATTCGACCTATCCAGCTTCCCTCTTTTTAACGATGTGGATTTCATCCACAGTACTCCTGAAGAAAACTACTCTCCAGTCGCACGTATCCTTATTTTGTATCCTTTATTGTAAATTTCAACAAGAACGTAATTGTCATTTTCGATGCTACATAAAACGCGGTTTCATCAACTGCATTTAAAACAAATAATAATAATTAAATAACGACAAAAGCAATCAATCTCGCTGATTTGTTTAAAATTTTATTGTGTCAAAAGACTTACGCACGTTTCCTCTTAATGATAATTAGCATCATAAACAACATGAAATATTAACCAGGAAATTAATAATCAAGCGATATGCATATATTATATAATACATCATATTAATGAGATCGCATAATATAATAGAGAGTGTAAAATGTATAACGCTATACGTATACATTAAAAGTTTATATGTTCTTCTCAAGAATTATGTTGAAAAAATTGCAAAATTGTAATCCAATTACTAAATGAGTCATAAAAATATTATACGGCTAATCTCATATATTCTGTTTCGAATGCATCGCACGATTATACAATCGGAAATTTACGGCATCGCCGACTCGTTAAATAAGCGTATTTCAACGAGCGTAACTCGAAATGACCAAAACAATGTAACGCACGTGTTTTACATTACTACAACCGTAATTAATACGTCGACATCTTTGTTGCGCGTCCACAATCCCAGAGATGTAGTATAATAAACCGTTTTATTACCTAAAGGCTTCTACAAAATTTGTAATTTGCGAAATTCAAAATGGAATTCTATTTATACATTTTACATGTCATGTAATGCAAAAAACATTTGAATACGTAAAATATAAATTAAAATATATTTCAAGATATATGTATACGTACATTAACTATATTTAGATCATTCAATGCATAAAATTATAAATAAATTTCTATCTTGAATTTTATCGTAAATTATAGATCGATTAAAGATCGCTTAGCATTATAATTATCATTTAATTTTTATAATTTTCTAAACAATTAATTAATTTCTTTATGACTTGTGTGATTGATCAAACTTTTATAAAGATTCTCAAAATAACCAATATTAAAATAATAAAACAATAAAATATTATTTTATCAATTTATGTAACTTATACAGATTGCAAAAGTTCAACGATGATCTTCTTTTTTAGCAATTTTCAACTAATTTCAAATAATTTAATCATATGCTATTAAAGAAATAAGATATTTATATTGCTTTACAATTAAATGTATGAATCAAAAGAGAATATAAATTTTATAGAATTTTTTACATCTACATTGACGTACTTTTGCGAGCTTCCGGTTGAGAATCGCTGTTCTACGCGATATAGCGCGCATACAATTTTCCATACATTTTGTGTGACGCTAGATGAGCTCTTAGATGCACGTGTGCATTTTATCAGAATCCGATTACTTGCACAAAAAAAGAAAATAATAGCCCCCTTTTTATATTTCGCTTGTCTGCAGTTGAACGTGAATTATATGTACTCGTTAAATCTCCCGTTTGCACCTTTATTCGCAGGATGAAAATTTTTATTATACGATTTTTATTGCGCATCGCATATTTTATGCGAGCATAATAGCAATTGCTGATTTCAATTGATTCCTACTAAAATTTTATTCCCTTACTTTTAATCTCAGCTATGAGTAAATTTTAAGTATACTTAAAGAGTTTATAATGGAATTGAATAAAATAATATTTTATTCTTTTATTTGTTATTTAATGTATATTATTTTAAAGATATTTATATATTTGAAAATTATATATTATAAAAATTATATGTATAAAAAAATTAATCATTTAGAGAACAATATAAAAAATTACATTTTGTCTTCACATACAATTATATGCAAGATATAATAGATATTTTTTATGTGTTTCCATACTCCATAGAGTATCCCACCATTTACAAGAAAATATTGCGCTTATTAAATATTTCAAATAAAAAACTTTAGTTTGCAACTAAAAATTCATTGTTTCACAAACGAGACGATATGCAACTATTTGAATCCTTATTTAAAATTTCGCAATTTCGCTACCTATGAATATAACTTTTGCGAGAGAGAGTTTTTCTAAAAATATTATTTTTTTTATTTTTTTCCGGTTATATATCGCGAATTTATGCGAAATATGTTGCACGTTTAATGATTTTTACGTAAAAACGCCAACCGCTCTGGATATTAGCATGAAATGTCAATTATATGTAAATTAATGAATATGTCACACCCGCGTAGAATAATTCGCAAATATGTTCGAACGGTTATAAGGTGCGCTCAGAATGCAAACGTGCCGAATAACATAATAAGTGATGCGTAATAAGAGGAAAATCGCGTGCGATTATTAATCGCTTTTTTTCATCGGACGTGATTGATTTTTTCGACAAAAACGGTTATCATAAATACAATCATCATCATTGAAAATGCCAATTCTATTCTCTGTACAAATTCAATAGACAGATAACACTTCTTTTAAATGTACAAATATAGGCAAACGATAATTTGATTAACTTAATTTTTTTAATGTGTTAAAATGCTTAGTTAAAATGATAGTATCTCTCTTATTAATATTTATTATATAGAAATCTTACAAAATAATGCGCATATATTTGTGTCTATGTGACACTACGTATAAAATATGCATGTAAATTTCGACTCGGTCATAATAAGCTTGTTTTGTAAATTGGCAAACGGTAATGGAACTTTCTGATGTACGTGATAATACAGCGAAATAATGATATCGATCCTCCAATCGCACGATCGTCCAATCGATTTTTGGCGTGCTTGATAATTTTCCATCGACACGAAAGTTAATTAGTTCAGGCAGAGTCGATTGAAATGGCTCCCGTTATGGCGCAAAATTCTTTAATTACTCGCGCGAGCGAGGTCGACAGATTAGCGGATCAGCAGATTCTCGTATATTCGTGCGTTTCGTGATTACAAGTACGGTCCTCGATCGAAGATTGCCATCGATCGATCGGACGAGCACGATAGTTGCACGCCAAGCTATCGAACGGACCGTTTAATGCATCGCTCGTTCCGTTTCGTATAATTATCGATCATTTCGATCGCGTCAAATGCATAATATTTTAACGATACGCACGCGGACGAAAAGTATGCAAATAAATTCGATTTGCGTGAGAATGAAAAATTAATGCATCATCGATCTGAGTTTTGCTGCAGTGGAACTGAGTCTTCCTTGCAAAAACGATGCGATAATTATAGATCGTTGAAAAATATCATTATTTTTCAACAAATATGTAATGCGTGGGAGGGATTGCTAATAAACATGAAAACTCCATTTATAATATTTACAATATAATTGTTAATATTACATGCATCTAGAAACATTTTTTGTGTTTAAAGTGCTCGAGTGCTTGTTGACGATAAAATGAAAAACGCTTTGTGATGTTTGACAAATCAAAAAAATAAAATAAAAAAATAAAAATAGGATGATATCATTTTTTTGATGGAATAGCGTAGACATAATTTCCTCCTCTC